GAAGGGTTTCATGAAATATGCTATATTATCTCAATGGAATATTATGTGCAGGAGGTAGAAATCATCTTTACAAAGATTTCTTAATGATACAGGGGAAAGCTTGCTATAAGGTTAAATGGGAAAAGAGCACAAAACAGAATTTTATACACAATATGCCCTTGGCTAAGTAATTACAACGCACAAAGAAAAGACAGAGGAACTATACCCAAACAGCTGGTACCCTGGAGGGCTGACGTGGGCCTGGCCCCATCCTGCACCTGCCTGCCGGGACACACACAGGACAGGAACCAGAGTGATTAGTAATGAGCAACTGACAGGGGCCTGACACAGAGGACAGGTGGAAAAACGCAGCTCAGGCTCAAGGCTAGATGAGCCCTCCCTACCCCCGTGCAGATCTAGATGCTGGGACCCACCTGCGGACCTGAGCCTAGGAAGGAAGAAACCAGGGCCAAGGTGGCTTCCCAGCCAACAGCCCAGAAAAGAGGCCCAGGCACTTGGAGGCCTGGCCGTGGGCAGCAGGAGGCCAGAGGAGGGCTCACCATGGGAAAGCACTGGAACAGGTGACACCGTGACTCCACCCGAGGCACAGAAACGGGGCCCGGGCAGATGCGAGACTCCCCCGAGCCAAGCAGCCACCCCTTGGGTGGGAAGCGTGAGTGCAGGGATGGAGAGAGGGGAGCTCCTTCCCCAGCGTTCCCTGCATGGCTGCAAAGAGACATAAACCCAGGCTCCCCTTGTCAATGGTAGGGCTGTCAAAGTCAAGGACTCTGGCTCCCCGCCACGCTGCCTCAGCTTCCCAGCTTCGCTATACTGAGCAGGCACTTCTACTCACACACTGAAAAGCATGTTTTCTAACTGCACGACACACACAAAAACCCTGCAGGGATCTGGCTCAGTATGGGCCCGTAGGGACGGGGTGAAACCGAGTCACGGGACCCAGAGGTCAGAAGGGACACCTGTAACTTCCACCTCATTTGAAAAATACCAAGCGGTAGCAAGTGTTGGCAAGATGTGGGCCCACGGGAACCCTCCCACGCTGCGGCGGGAACGTCCAACGGCAGCTGCCATGTGACCGCTGGGTCCACAGACGCCCAGAGATGAAAGCACGTGCGTGTCACGCTTCGCACATGGGGTCACTGCTGCAGCATTGATAATAACCAAAAAGTAGACAGAACCCAAACGTCCATCAGGAGATATGTGGATGACTAGAACGTGCTGTATCCATGTAACCAGAGGTCATCTGACCACAAGAAGGACTGAAGTGCCAACACCTGCTACCTGGACGGACCTTGAACGTGCAGAAGACGCACCTAGCAGCCGCTCACACACGGGCTCGAAGCTCTTCACACAGTAACTCCCGCGGGCCTCACGGCAACCAAGGCAATGGTGCCATGCCCTCCGATTCCCACGTCGACAAAGGCCATGCACAGCTGGTAAGGGGCAGAGCCTGGGTCTGAACCCCGGCGGCCAGGCCCCAGCGCTGAACGTTACCACGGGGCCCGATGACTCACCCCCAGCAGCAGCACAGGCCTGGACTGCTGACATCCAGATGCCAACGGAGGAGCGAGCCATAAACCTCCACCGTCAGGTCCCCGTAGACCCCTAACACACTGGTGACCGCAGGACTCTGGATAAGCACATTCAGAGCCACGCCTCTCAGCTGCCACCCCCAGGGCTACAATTCTCATCGCAAACCCCAGTGCAAACCTCTCCCCCAGCTCCAGATCAACATGTCCGAACCCAGAATGGTCATCTCACCTCCTAAACCAGCTGCCTGTCCAGGACAATGGCACCACATCCACCTTGGACCCTAGGAACATGCCAGACTTCTCCTTCTCCTCACCCTCCGCTCCCATCAGCCTCCTTCCCCTCTACGTCAACCCCTTCACCACCTCGCCGGCCAGGCTTTCTCTCCAGTGCCGGGCCCTGCCTTCACCTGCCTCTGGGCCTGCTCCCATCAGCCCACGATGTCTCTCTGTGCACACGGTCCTTGTTTTTGCTGGGACAGCACGGGTCCTCTCTCAACCTTGTTCTAGACCTGCCTTCCTCAGGGGCCTGAACTAAGTCCAAAGTAGCAGCTACATTGCTGCTTCCTCTAACTTCCAAAAGGTAAAATTCAAGCACCTGTCACATACCTGTTTCGAGAGGAAGGTGACATATCTACCAGGTGTGCTGGCTAGGCAGTCCTGCACACTCTGCCTGGCCTCTGGGTCAAGGATGCACTCTGCATGATCAAGCACCAAGGCGTGGCTCGGATCGAGAACGGGCACATTCACACATCGGCAAACCTAGCGTCTATGCACCTAAAGCTTCTTATCCCTAAGGCTTCAGCCCCTTAAATTCCCAAACCTTCCCGGCATCGGGCACTCTTCCACGGCGGAATTTTCTGAGCATGTCATCTATTCCCGTTATAGAACTCCACTCATGGGGACTCCCCAGGCTTCAGTGCGCCCTAAATGACTGTACTTACCAGCCTCCACGCCTGGACGGGCTCTGCACACTGCCACCCCACCTCTGAGATCACAGGAAGTCTCCTGACCTCCTCCCCCACCCCTCCTGAGGATGACAGCCTCCAGAGCCCACCTAAGACTGTGGGCCCATTCAGAGGGCAGTCAAGGATCTGTGCCACGTTTACGTAGGCAAGTGGTGGCTGGCATGTGCTGTGCGTGCACACACGCGTGTGCCTGTGAGCATAGACGTGCGTGTGCTAAACCTGCATCGGGGGACGCTGTGACCTTTGAAAGTGGGACCAAACGGCCTTTCCCCAGCAGTGTGAGGTGCTCCGCGAGGAGACCTGAGCCAGTGGCACACGACTCTGACCCATCCCAGCGCTGTGTTAACAGCCCTGGGAGACCGTCAGGGCCACTGGACCAGCTCCATGCTGCTCCATTTCCAGGCTACTCCTGTTCTCCCCTTGTTCCTGGCTTCCCCGTGTTCTCTGACCATTTCTTCATGCCCTGCAAGTTGCTTCCACCACTCATCATCCTGGCCAGCCTCCCCATGAAGATGAACCAACCCTCTGCAAAGGAAGCAGTGAATCTACTTGATGAGCCAAAGTCCTCCGAATCAGACCCTGTTTGTCAACCCCAGATACATCAGCCACTGTTCACTTCCCATCTCCGTCTTTTTCAAGTCACAAAACATGGCATTAAAAGGCCGCTATGTGGCAGGACCTGCAAAGTCAGGACCCCTGCTGCTCAGAAGTGGCTGCCCCTGCCTGGGACATCACAGTCGTTGGAGCTGATGCCGGATTCCCCTCCTCCCTCATGAACCAGCAGGAGCACGGCAGGCCTGGAGCCGGGGACCCGCAACAAACCCTCCACGGGCAAAGCCCGGCTCCCGATCAGGCCCGGCAGCTCTGCCCACCGCAGCCTGAGGGCGCCTGGAGGGATCTCACACCAGGAGGGGCTTCTTCTCCCCTCAATTAATGGGGACTGTTTCCCAGAGTTCAGCTTAGAAGAAAGGAAAACCAAAACAACACACGCGTGCCCTGAGGACAGAGTCATGGGCATCTTTTGGGAGGGAGGGCACACGCGGGCTGACCCCTGTGCCATTGGGCACCACGAGCGTCTGAACAGTCATGTGGGAACAGAATGCAGACCCCAAAGTCCTGCAGGACACTCAGGGATCCAAACCACACAATCCTATGACCAGGTTTCACCCTCTGAAAGAAAAAACTGTATCTGCAAGATCTTCAATAAGCAAAGCATCTAAGGTTTACCCGCTTAAAAACCCAGCCAACCAGAACACCTTCAGCCTAGTGGCTGGCAGCACGCGTGCCCCGTGCCCGTGAGCTTCTGCACAGCGCCCGGGCTTCCCCGCGCCCAGCAGACTTGTCCCAGAGCTGCCGCGGGGACTCATCCTATGGGCACCGCCCTCCCTCGTCACCAGGCCCAGCATCACAGCAGGTCTTCCAGCCCGTCCACTGCACTCCCACGCTCCCTCCACACGACGCCCCTGCTCATCCCACAAGGCACAGCTGGAGCGCCACAGACTCGTCTGAGCCCTAGGCCTGGGTTTGCTTTCCTGCACCCCATGCACCTCAAGATAACACGAATGTCTGTTTTCATTAAACTTCTTCGTTACTGGTTTAAAACCTGTCTTCCTGCTGTAACCACAAGCTCAACGGGGCAGGAACCATACTCGCTTTGCTCGCCTGTGTCCCTACCACCCTGCCGAGGACCAGGAGATGCCCTCTCGACACAGGCTGACTTGAACTGACGAGGTCTCCACACGCTGGTGCTCTGCCCAAGACCAGCACCCCGGCGCCCGCCCATGAAGGTCTTCGTGAATGACACTACCGCACAGGAGTCTGGCGGGTCGGGCTCCAGGACACTTCAAAAGACCTGAGGCTTTCTAAAGCAAGGAGAGGTGGACCAGGACCGACACACGAACACTCCCAAGTGCGGATGGCAAGAGGTGAAAGAACTCACACCCACCAAGCATACCTGAAAGCCAGGACCAAAAGGTAAAACATGTCCACTTAAAGACACAGCCAACTGCCAGAAATAAATGGTGCGTTTCATACAAATGTCCCCAAACCACCCCGTACATCCACTCGATGCACATGCGCGTCCTGGTGCATGTGCACACGTGTGTGCAGGGGGTGTCACAGGAAGGCAGGACAGAGCACAAATCCTAGCTCCTCTGGTTCTTCTCTCTTCTAGACAATGACCACCACAGTCCATCTCGCTGACGATTCAGGCAAACCCAGTTAAGGATGGCTTGGGTCTTATGGCATGAGTTGGTGGTAAAGTAGTTGAGACAAACTTACTTACCACATTAATTAAATGGTCTATTTAACATGGAATATCAATTCTCTAATCACATCTCAGCTGAACTTCTTCTTTCAATTAACAACCCCGAAGCCTACTGACAGGCCCTACTGTGCTAGGATCATTAAGAACATTTTCATTATCTGTCAAGGCGGGAGGAAGAAGCAGAAAGGCAAGCGCTCTCGGAGCAGGCTTCTCCCCTACATGAGAGCCGATTAGAGACGGAGCCGTGGTGGTCCTCATTAGTTGCTTAGCAATGAAAGCCCTCCTATGAAATCAGCAACGCAAACAAAGTGTGAGAGGTTGCAATAAAACGCACTGAACGAGCATGTTCTCGTCCTCAGAGAGTAATCTGTTCCAGCCAAACCTCCTCCCTCGGATCACAACCATGATGAGAAGCTGAAGCGGCTAAAGACACAATCTCATAAAAACAAACAAATATCAAGTCGGGAAGGCTCACGTGAAGACAAATTAAAATTGGTTTTTAATAAAAATGCACGCAAACGGCAAATCCCTCCTTTGGTTATTTATTTTTTATCCACCGATAAATTAAAAAAGTAGATCCCACATTTATATTTTCAGAATTTTTCTAAAGCTTAACATATGTTCATAACAGGTACAGTTATGTTACAGTTGACTGCTATACCATAAATGGAGAAAAAAATACACAGCACTCAAAGAGAGACCGCACTGCCCAACCTAAATCTCCGTTAAACCAATTACTTTGCATGTAATTAACATTCCCATAAAATGAACCGCTACTAACATCAAAGGTAGAAAGGAGACAACGTGCTGCAGAATGCAATCAAAGCTCAGGTTTTAGCTTGTCAGCAGAACATTCGACTAACGTTCTGTCACCTTGACCCGACCCATTCAAATCCACCCCGTGAAAGCCAGCCATCAGAACAAAACCATGCTCCTCGTGTATGGTTAAAAAGAAGACAGTAAGAGTAAAAACTGCATCTTAATGTCTTCTTCAGTAGTTAAACACGTGGATTTACAGACTTTTTTTAAAGCTGGCGTCAATGAGGAAACTATACTCTCTATTTTCAGTTGTCATTACAACATTTAACTTAATGGCACATCTCAACATTGGTGCAATGATGCATAGTAACTTGGCAAGGCCACCAAAGTTCACGTTTAATGTCTGCAGGGAAAAAAAACATCATGATATGGTCTTACCTATGTGTTCGCACATGAAGACTACAAAGAAAAGATTGACAAGGTCATTAATCCCCTGAACATATCCACTGGCAGGGTGACGTATCGCCCATATAAACAATATCCTTTCAAAAATCTGCAAGAAAATTGAACAGGTGGTGAAGCAAAAGTAAACACATCAGAAACTTTAAAATGTACGCATTCTTTCCCTCAAAATACATATATACAAGCAACATTTTTCACTGTCTCTAACATTAAAAGTAAAAATGTAAACAAAGTATTAATTGCTACTTAATTTTTTATAAAATCCCCATGATCTTAATTTCTTACTGACTTAAAAGCAGTTGCAGTGTCTCACGGAGCCCCGGGCTCAGCCCTGCCACACGAGCTGGCTCCCACAGGAGACACTGTCCGCCCCCGCCCCAAGCCCCGCGGGCAGAGATTGCACACGGCTGCCCAGGACGTGGTCAGGTGGTACAGCAGCACCTGGCGTCTGGGTGAGTGCTCCCTCCGTGTGGAGGGACGGGAGAGCAGAGGACCGGGCAGGCGGGCGGGCAGGTGCACCCAAGGATGGATGGGTGAATGGAGAGAAGGAAGGAAGCATGGTGCGGGGATGGGGGCTGTGGTCAGGGGAGGGGGTACATGGAAAGATGCTCTGAATTTCCCTCATATGGTAAACAGACTGTTTTAAATGAGGCAGAAGTGACATATGACATTATATTAGTTTCAGGTGTACAATATTTGAAGAGTGACTCAACATTGGTATATATTACAAAATGATCTTTTGTAATATATGTAAGTCTAATTAACACCCGTCACCATACAGTTACAAATTTCTTCTCTCGTGATGAGGACTTTGAACATCTCTTAGCAACTGTGAGACATGCAACACAGTATTATTAAACAGTTAGCACACCGTCCATTACATCCCTGACTTACTTTACATTGACACCCCCGCCCATTGCACCCACAACCACCCCCACCTCTCCCAGCCACCAATCTGTTCTCTGTATCCATGCGCTTGGTTTGTTTAATCAGTGCACAGTTATCATCACCCAAGAGCACCTGCTCCAGCATCTTCCCATCACATACATTCCCACCAGCCGTTCCATCACCCAGGCCATGGACACAGGGGTAGCTTAGCCTCCTCTCTCTCCTTGCAAGACCCTCACTGCTGACCCAGGCCTCATGCTAAGAAGGCACACGGGGCAGGCTCAATGAGCAAATGCCCAAACAGCGCGTGAATTGCCTCATTTCCAAAGAAGTCAAGCCTGTAGGGCTAACTGCGCTTGTACCCGAGGAGGTCAACCCCTTTCTGCACTGCCCTCACTCCCAAATATCACCGAGCTTGTGGTCTGCATCCCCAAATCAGCACCAACACAGCTCTACAGCAGGGGCCCTGGGGCCTAGATGGGGAAGTCTCTTAACCCAGGGCCCACGGGCAACAAGGGGCACCACCAGCCCTAGAATCCAGGCCCCCATCCACTGTGCTTGCTCCCAACAAAGAAAGTAGCCAGCACATAAGCCGGGGCACCTGCGCACAGAGCCTGTCCCAACAGGGCAGCTGCTAAGGACCTGCTGCTGAACGAGTCGTGCGTTCATGCACATACGTTCATACCTGTGTCTCATTTTACAACCACTTTCCAGCAAGAACTAGCAAGAATATTCAAACAAGAGCAAAAGACCAAAACCACTCAATACGTGGCATCATTTGCCATTTCTCTTGTGCAAACACGACGTGGCTGACACCGTGCCGCCACACTAGGCGCCCTCACCCTGGTGACACTGGAAGCAGCACTCGACCCGTCACTGCAGTGGCACGGTGGTCAGACGGGCACGCAGGGCCCATGCAGGGGAGGACCCCTCTCGCAGACCCTAGCCACCACCCCCCCGCCTCCGGGCAGCCACGCAGCAGTCACGGCCCTGCCCGGCCACCTGGGCACAAGGAAAGCCCGGGACAGTGTCCCAACCCTGTCCTCGCCGTGGACAGGGTAGGGACAGGCTGAGCAAGCGAGGGCACAGTCAGTGCCGAGACCGCACCAGGGACAGAGAATGGGCAGGATCAGGCTGCACGAGGACAAGCGGGGGCAGTGCCCAGCAGGACAAACTTGTGACAGTTCACCACAGAGCAGTGCAGAGCCGTGAAAGTCAGCTAAGCATCTCCTCATGAATAAGACCCCGAAGTATATGTTCAGCTCACTGGCCGTTTTCTACCCCACACTGGAAAGTTCTAGCAAAGACAACCAGGAAGATGGGGAATTCCCGTGCATGCACGCTCAGTCACGACATGGCCAGGAACAGTGGAGCCTGAATAGCGGAGGTGCATCCCCACCGTCGGGTCAGGCAGGCCCCCAACCGGAGACCCACAGGTAAGACAATGGGGCCAAGCGAGGTGAAAAGTACCCGCTCTGGCCCATGCCTCCCTGGTGGAGTGTGGCTCCTTCAATTCCCAGCACGGCCTTCATCCCCTGCACAAGGCGATGCTCGATGGCCCCAAGAGCACCCAGGATGGGATCAGGCCACTCCTTCGGCCATTCTTCGCATGGCCCTTGTCCCCTCTACAGGGCTACCCTCAAGACATGGCAGCGGGGCACCCAGAGATGGGGTCAGCCTACTCTGAAAGAAGCTCCCGGGCTGGGCACCCGAGCAGGGCACCACAACAGAGAACCACATGGTGCAGGGCACTGTCTGTGGCACCCTCCAGGTGACCCAAGGCAGGGAGCAAGGGCCTCTGTAGTCGCCACACGACAGCCAGGCCTGAGGAGGGCTGGGAACAAAGGACAGCGTCAGCCCCCCAGCACGTGGGTGGAAAGGCTCCACAGTGGTACACACTGCATTCCGGAGGCCACTGAGAGCAAAGGAGAGATGGAGGAGTGCCTTGAGGACAGGAAGGCGTCACTGGGGACAGCCCTGGATGCCACGGTGCAGTACGTGGGCGTCAGTAGGCAACCTAACCCCAGGAATGACAACACTAGTGTGATCACGTAGTTGCTAACATCGATTCAATGCTACTGTCCTGACCACCTTCACTAGCTCATCCTCCTCTACACGTGGAGGCAGGTATGATTACTACCCCTTTCAGACGAGGTGGCGGACAGACCCCGGATGGCTCTGTGCCTCCCCCCACCTCCTGGTGTACACGCTCTTGTGTGGCCCCTTCCCCTTGAGTGTGAACAGCCCTGCACCCTGCTTTGCACAGGGGATGGGATGTGCAAGATTATGTCACAGAGGACGACAACTCCTCCTGGGAGATGCTCTCCCTGCTGACTTCAAGGACACAGGCTCCCACACTGTGAGCTGCATAAGGAAAGGGCCGTGTGCCCAGGACCTGAGGGCAGCTGAGAAGCAGCAAGGAACCCGGGCCACAGCTCCACAGCCTACCAGCAACCGAATCCTGCCAGCAGCCATGTGGTCCTGGAAGCGGCCCTTCCCCAGTCAAGCCTCAGATGCGTCTGCAGCCCAGACCACACCTGATTGCCACTTGGGGAGATCCTAAGACATGCCCAGACTCCTGACCCACTGAAACTGCGGGACAACAAATAGGAGTAAGTGTGTGTTGTTTGAAGTGCTAGGTTTGTGGTGATGTCGTTACACGGGAACAGGTAACTCATACAGATGAGAAAGCTCAGACAGCCACAGGGTAAGCAATTCACCCAGAGCAGCAGAGCCAGGAGTCCACGCTGGTATCTGACTAAACGGGGGTCTTGTGAGGCCTACAAAATGCCACCACCGATCTGCATTAGTACATATGCTTTCATATGCAAATCAAAAACGAGAGACCACCAAAAAATTATAACTATATGGTAAGAAAGAAACAGCAAGTCAATGAGCTCCTGCTGAGCAAACTACATCTAAACTTGGTTTCCACCTGTCTGAGGCCTAGCAGGGACCTGGTCATCAGAGGGGCCTGGTGTGTACACATGCATGTACACAGACACGTGAGATGTGTGCACAGGTGTGAGGTGCGTGTGCACACAGATGTGTGGTACCTGTGTGTGGGCAGGTGTGTGGGGCACGTGCGTGTGCACTGGAGGAAAAGCCAGAGCTCAGGGCACCGAAATCTCCTTTCCTGCTTTGCAATCTCACTATCCTGGGGGAGTGGTCATGTCAGCAATGGACCCCTCCCAACCCTGTCACTAAGCCCCAGACTTTCAGAGCACTTGGCTATCTCGCTCTCTCTCTCTCTCTCTCTCTTTCTCACACACACACACACACACACACACACACACCCTAACCCCACTCACAAGCAGGAATGCAGATTTTCGCTTGGCAACCCTGGCATAGAAGAAAAGCTGTTGCAGATGACTGAGCCGGCTCCGCACGGCAGGGAATGTGGAGGGGACATGAGTGTTCTCAGTACAACCAGGGCCTGGGCAGGCAACTGGAGTGGCCTGCTCGCGATTCCTGGGCCCAGAGACCACAGAAGGTCTAAGAAACCAGCGGGGGAGACCTGCTGGCCATGTCCCAAAGCTTCCCTCGCGGAGAGGCCAGAGCAAGCTGTCCTGAGATGGACTAGGCTCCACAGGACATTACCTGGGGAAACTGAGGAAAGCACTCAGGGGCAAACGCGTCTGGTGAACACGGCTGAGCAAGGAGGCAGGAGGAGGCAGCTGAGCCTTCTCAGTCTCAGACCGCTCACGTGCTTCCAAAGCCTTCTGTAAGGGAGCCAACAACCTAGCAATCGCCTACTGCCCCTTTCACCTGGGCCCCCGTGCAGGGCTTCCAGAAGCAGGGGCTGGCCCTCACGCTCACAGCTTGCAGAGTGCCCTGTATCTGTACTACTTTGGGAAAACTTCCAGAATTCAGATTTCCCATTAATTAAAGAAAAGCTATCAGTCAGGTAGTTCAAATTATTTATAATTAACTCTACTTGATCTCTCTTGATAACCTGAAAATTATACTATTAAGGCTTTAATCCCAGTAACATGTAAATAAAGAGATAAGTAGTTCAAGCAAAAACAAAAATGGTTCTTTTTTTTTAAAAGATTGTATTTATTTATTTGAGAGAGAGAGCATGCACAAGAAGGGGGAGGGGCAGAGGGAGAGGCAGACTCCCCGCTAAGCAGAGAGCCCGATGCAGGGCTCCATCCCAGGACCCCAGGATCATGACCTGAGTGAAGCAGACGCTTAACCGAG